GTGAGGATCTATGGCCAGAAGGCCTCTGTGTGCGTGTGGTGAGTGGGTTGGAAAGCAGAGAGCGTTTCATGCCTCAGCACTGGAGCGACAGGCACTGAGTAAGCAGGGCCAGCACATCTCTGAATGTGCCTCCCCACTGAGTTCCTCTTGGGGAGGTGGAAATCTGCTGCTTCATGCAGAGAAAAGTTATGTAGACAAGCTGTGTTTTGGTGCCTGGTTTTGTGCAAAACATGGAAATCCTTTCTTGCCTGGTCTCTTTTCATTCTTTTTGCTGTCAGTCATTGCACATGTCATCAGTGTCTGTGGAAAAGACAGCACAGTCAGGGCACAAGCCTACTGCAGCCTCCAGTGTGTGAAAAGCTGCATTAGCTTGAAGATTTTCACATGAGAACTGCTGGTGATTGACAGGACATACAGTGCAGTCTTTAAAACCAGACACATGTGTCTGGAACCCCTCACTGGCATCCGGGATTAAGGAGAACGTAACAAACTGCATTACTGGTGCACACATGAGCAAGCCTTGGGTTTGTGCTGGAAGCCTTGTTTCTGCAGCACAGTTCAACTCTCTTCAGCAGCCAGTGAGAAGAGAACTTGTGCAGCATGCTTAGGATATGTTCATCCACCCTGCTGCAGTACCCAGCATGTTCTTATTTGCATCCCTCTGAGCCAGGATGCAGAGAACAAGTTGCAGCCCAGCAGACTCCATACAGCCAGGTGTAATGCAGGTTTTTCTACTGGATTTCAGTGGTGCACTCCAAACAGCTGGCTTTGTTGCAGTGCAAGCTGCTGTCACGTTAGCTGGTGTCAGATGCCAGCCATTTACAGTATACGCCATCACAGCATGACTTAAGTTGGCAACACAGAGTCAATCACATGCCAGCAGCCTACTGTAAGGGTGGGGGAGTGTGTGGGAAGAAAGAGGGAGAAGATACTCTTATAAAATCCTTTAATGATTTATTTTTAATATCCATTTTTCAAGCCTTGGGAAGTGCAGTCCATATGCTTTTCCCTCCTGGCTACAGTTGGCAAAGAAGCTAATGAACATGGTCCTTCAGACTCCTTCCATTTTTTGAGGAGCCAGAAAGTACAGCTATATTTAGCATGTTACCAAGGCCAGCAATGGAGTCTGTTACTGGATGGTGATTCCCTGGCTGCAGGCTCATGTGCCACCCGGGACAGGGTGGGAATGTGCCTTCCCTGGAGTCAGTACTCATGTTAAATTTACAGCAGCAAACTCCCAGTGACGAGAGGATGGCTGCACTGGTCCCAGCGGGCTCAGCGTGCCACTCTCAGACACAGATCAGTCTCTGAGCACCATGGCCCTTCCAGACACATGCACTGATCCTCTCCAGGTGCTAGGATGGTGCTTTTTGCTGCAACACTCAGGTTGGGAAGTGTCTCAGCTGGTCTCCATGCAGAGCGCTGGAACTGTCCTGTGCTCTGTGCTGAGCATTTGATGTGGTGGAGCCACAGCTAGTCCCTACAGGAAAACAGCACCTTGTAGCTTAAAGATGCTTACCTGAAACTTAGGGGCCTGACTCCTGTTGTATTTTCTCATGTTGCATTCCTAGGCCACACAGGTATGAAATGGAGTTGTCCTTATTTGTCCCCAGCACAGTATCCATAGAGCAGATTTGCTACCAGTTCCCTGTTGCTTTCCCTGCTGTGTTGCAGCTGGTACTGAGGAGTGAAAAATGGCAGTTCCTTTGTCCTTCTGGCAGCTTTTGTAGGGCTGCAGTTGGTCTTGAAGAATGTATGTGTTGCTGAGAAGTACTGAGAACTGTGGGTGTTGTGATGGAAGTGTAGAAGAAGGGATCACCCCTACCAGCGTTGGAGTTCAGGAGGCACTAGTGGTGCCCATCACTTGAGAGCGAGACATCTTGAAAGTTGTTTCATAGCAGGATGTCTAAACTGGGAACATTTTGTGTCACTCTGTCACATCATCAATTCCTAAAATTCATTGTCTGAGAGATGAAGAACCTACTGTGGTGTTAAAGAGGGCAGCTTGACTCAGCTGTGGCTTCCAACCCGCCCTGGTGAAACACAGTGGTTGGTGATGCTCAGGATCAAAATGATGGAGAGGAGGAGCTAGGCTGAAGGTGTGAGTTTGAATCCAAGTGCAGTGGTGATTCATTTAGTCTTTCTGGAGCCCTCAAAGGGCTGACTGACAGCCATGCTGCACTTCACAGCCTTTGCTCTGCAGCAGCATCTGCACAGCCCTAGCTCTTGCAAATACATGTCCTTGAAACCACTGTGTGGGCACTTGTTTTGGCTCACAGGCTCTGTCTGCAGGACCAAGGCCATGTGCTGTGTGGTGGTTTTTTGTTGATAATAAAAATGTTCTGTTTGTAAAACCCCTGTTGGAATTAAACAAACTGCTTTGAGAAAAAAAGTAGAACAAAGCTTCTTACCAAGCTGGGGTTGCTGGTATCAATGATATTCACAATTTCAGTTGAAACAGCAAGTCCCTTTCAAGTTGAAGATAACTCTGTAAGTATTGTTTACAAAAAATAGTAGTTCTTTTTTCATCTTCTCCATTCCTGCAGTGGAGAAACATCTACACAGATTTATTCCAAATTTGGTAGAAATTAGTGTTTTCCTAACCCAAAGCACTTGTGCCAAGTTGCAGCCAGGAGGAATTTCTGGGGCTGATGTGTAAGCTCTCAAAGGCTGGAGCTTGGAATAGAGCAGCTGTGTGGCCATCAACAGTCTGTGGCTCCATGGGGTCTGTTCCTGGTCGGGAGCAGCCCCACAGAAGCTGTGAAGGTGAGATGCTGCAGATATGCTCTGAGGCTGAGCCCTGGATTCATGTTGGGCCCCAGGTGGAAGGAAGGGCAGTGGAGAGACCTTGTCCCATGCAGCTGGAAAGATGCTATGTGAAGGATGACCAGGATAACCCAAACCTTCCTCGTGCTGCTGAGTCTTCTCCCAGATTAACGCAGTTACTTGTCTGAGCACTAGGCAGCTGCATGGTGCCATTTTACCCTCACCGTACACTGATGTGAGAAAGTGTCTGGAGATGAAGATTCATGCCCTTGGGGCCTGTGAGCAATTAACTCGCTGTTGGGGATCTGGGGCTGTTGGATTGCTGAGAAGCCAAAACAATAGCATTAAAAAGCCTCTTTCTTTTTGAGTTGGATTGTTGGGAGCCACTGGGCTCTTCTAGGAGCAGGTCAGAGAGTTTCATTCCACAAAGGCAGGCTGCAAAAATTTGGAAGTGGTTTTTTCTTTTTTTTTCGTGTCCCAGCTGGTTTAGCCCATCATTTCTTGCATTTAATTATTTGCCTGTTGTTTCACTCTGATCTCCTCGGAGCAGATAAGAGAGGAGCCAGTTCCCATGATAATCTGTCATACAGTCCCTTTTATGCTGCAATCAAGCTCTGCAGCCCTCTCCCCAGCTGAAGCTGTTATCCCCACCAGGAAGGGGAGCAGAGGAAAGCACATGGAGGAGAGTCTGCAGATCTCACGCTGCTCTACAGTGTCCTGCCCTTCTCCAGGCATGCTGAGGAGCCTGGCTGGGGATTCAAACCAGCCTCTGCAGTGGGTCACGGTGTTGGCTTTGTTCAGTGATGCTCTGACTGTCCAGTAATTCCACCTGTATGTTTGCACAAGTCTTAAAAATGCCCAGGGGAGCACATGGATGCAGTAGGAGCCTATCCTAAGAGGTTACCGCACACCTGAGCCCTGGGTGCAGTGATATGTATCAGTTGTACCCCCGTGGACCTGGTTATGGGGTTACAGTTCTGCTGCATGTGATCCTGCTAGCAGGAGCAGGTACAGGAGGTCACCCAACGTGCCCCTTCTGGAAAGCAAACTTAATTACATCGAGACTGAGAGCTCTGTGTCCAGCCCTTGACGGGAGTGCCTGAGACAGGCTGGATAATGGATAGTCCTGCGCCTTTACTGGCTGCAGGAACTGTTATTAGTTATCTGTCATGGAACAGCTCTGTGGCCTCCAGGTCTGGCCTTATTTTAATAGGCTCTGAATAGCTCCAAAGAATTTGTTCCTCAAAAAAGTCACCATTTTTGTGTGAAAGTTTTATAAGTAACTGAAATGTAAAGTTACGTGAAGTGTGTCATGTATTCTGTATGCCTGTGTTTCTTGAAGAGGGAATATGCAAAGACAGGGGAAAAAAATCTGTATTTTTCAAGAATTACTTCATCTTAATGACAAAATTTGCTATTGGCTTTCTTATTCAGTGAACTGTTGGTATTTATGGTTTATTTATTGGTACTACGTTTACTTGCAAGCACTATTAAAGCAAGACAGTTTATACATAGGGTTTTTTAAATGATGATCTCAGTTGATTTGCAGTGGTCACATCAGTGATCCTTTGCTTTTTGGAAGCACAGTGCTTATATTAATTGCGGGGGGAAGTAGTGATGCAACGTGTACTGTGGCTTTTGACAAATGAAAATACAAAGGAGGAAACTTGTTTCAGTTCTTCCTCCTGTGACTGCCAGCTCTCTGCATCTCGAGGTACCTGGATGTGATGGGTGAGAGTTGCTGCTTTTCAGAGCTGTCCTCTTAATGTTTCACCCAACACAGCTGGGGAAGTGGTGGAGACAGTTTTGTTTCTTGCTGTCTGGTTGTCAGGGCCAATTAAGTGGTCTGGTATTGAGAGGGAGGGGAAAAACAACTGGGCAAAGAAACCGGGAATTTTTGTTGTTGTTTCTGGAACTGTTGCTGCTAATTTCTGAAAATATTTGTGTTTGTGTTAGATTGTTTTATTATTTTTTCCTTACAACCATCATTTTAACATCGGGAAGCCTGACTTGGATTTAGCTTGATAGTATTTGGCTAGTGTTAGTGTGGGAGCAGTCATGTTGTTCTTCTCTTCACCTGCTATAGAAAAAGCACAAAAGAGACACAGTAGCTACCAAACTGCCGCGGCCTCGATGATTGTGTTGTTCTGGTAACCCAAACAGTCCTTAATTAAATTTTGCTGGCTGCCCTGAGCGTTACATTCGCTGAAATGCTGTTTCATTATGTTTTTTAGGGCCGGTGTACCCGAGAGAACTGCAAATATCTCCACCCACCCCCACACTTAAAAACACAACTTGAAATAAACGGACGCAACAACCTGATCCAGCAGAAGACAGCCGCAGCCATGTTTGCTCAGCAGATGCAGTTCATGCTCCCAGGCGCGCAGCTACAGCCCATTGTGAGTTACACCCGTGGACTGTCGGGTTCACACTGCTCCGTGATTCTCTCCTCTCTGCTCAGAGGGCACAGCCCTGTGCTTGAGCTCAGTGCTGCAGAGCTGGGCACAGTCTCCCAGAGGGGTGTCGGGTGCTGCCTGTGGATCTCCTTGCAAGCTGTCTCTCCTCTGATAACTGAGGAGCTGTGAGATTCAGGGCATCAAAGGGTCTTACCACCAGGTGCATAATTGACCGGTTAATTTGTGTGCATCCCCGAAGCTCTGAGTGGCTGAATTCCAGTGGATCCTGCTTTGGGTAGTTGTTTTACACTGGGAGGATGAGGCCGATTGCTTTGGACTAGCTGTGTTGTACTGGTGGACTAAAACTGGGGAAGATGTATCCTACCCAAACCTTAATACTTATTTATGTCTGGGAGTAAGACCCATTTCACTGCACTTGTCCCAGCAGAGAGTTGTACTAATGTCACAGCCCTGTCACTTGTTTTTCACAGTAATACTGTTTTATATTAAGAGCAGGAAAGAGCTGCTTCTCTTCAGGCAGGGAGGGAAGCCTAGAAGAGATGGGTGTTTGCGCAGCAGGTAGTTCAGTGAAGGCTTCACTGCCTGTCCCTGATTTTGCCTGTCAGTTAAAACAGGTTTTCAGGCTGGAGAACCCTGTTATGCAAGGTAGAGGATGGCTTGTGTCTGCTGGTTGGTGTATCTGAGAGGGGATGACATTTGTCAGCTGAGTTTGGGTCTGTCACAATGTATATTTTAAGAAATGTCAGAGGTCTTGAAACAGCTTTTCTGTGCTGACACGAATAAGCTGCACTGAGAGTTAATTAGGAGTTCTCCATTTAAAGTTGGGGCTGAATATCTTTCCTGGGGCATTGTGCAGTCAATGTACAGTTGTTGGGTGAGATTCCCTGTGCTGTGCCACACTGGAGGGCTGGCTGGATCCTTCAGACAAACTCTTCTAGCCTGAAGGTGTACAAGTCTGTGAACCAGCCTGTGCTTGGGCTCCTGGTGTCCCACCTACAGCACTTGGCTTCTCTGCCCAAATAGGGCTCAGCATCTCTCACCCCAGCTTTGAAAAACTTGGGTGTCTCTGGTTTATTCTCACCATTCTTCCCTGTTGGAGGCTGTGTGTAGCAGCTCGTGATGGAGCTGTGTTTCAGTGGGGAGACCTGGCCAGTGTCCCTTTGTGATGGTGCTCTGCCACCAGACTGGGGCACTTCCCCAGTCTGGCATATATTGTTTCTGTCTTTTGAAGGCTTTTCCACATTCACTGTCACTCTGATCATCCTGTGTCTATCAGCTTTATCTTGACCCTGCCATATAAGCTAGGAAAATGCTGTTTATTCTTCCCATTCTGAAGATGCAAAAGTGAGACAGAAGAGAAAATGGGCCACAGGAAGAGTCCTTAGTTGTGCTGTGCCTTAGGCTCTAATCTCTGTAGTCTTTGCACCTCTTTTTGTGGAGTTTGAAAGTATGTGCACATCAGAAGGAAATCCTGAATTCCCACAAAATAGTAGCACTGGTTTCCAAGCCCTATACCAAAAGCAAACCTTTCCTGTTTGGGGTTTTCCTCTGTGGGGAATTCACAGTGGACAGTCTTTGGCTGGCTATTCAAAACATCTTTGGGATTTCCGCTTTGGGAAGTTCCCATCTTCCCATTTTGCAATCTTGCAGGTCCAGTTTACTCCGGTAGTTTCACTCCTTCCTTGTAAATTGCCTCTGAGACTGAAAGTGTTGGTTGTCTGGTTAGTGCTCTCATTTCAGAAGGTAACCTTATCTGATGAGAAAGGTCCCTGGTTTCTAAATTGTGCCATGAGGGAGACTTGGGTAAAGAAAAATAAAAATTTGTTCTGCAATGACTGCTCCCTTCCTGCTTTCCCACACTTTGCTCAGAGTAAACGAGCTCTTGGTCTCATTCAGCTGCCCAACCCACACCAATTTCAGGACAAACAAGAGATTGCTCTTTCGACTGCCTTTGATTTCCCGAAGATGCTGTCAGTGGAAGCTGGCTTTGAGAATTTTTTTCCTCTCTAAATGAGAAGGGTGGGGCCTCCTTCTGGCTACACACGAAATTCTTCAAAGCAGAAAGTATTGTATCAGATGCAGCAGCAGAACAAATCCCATGTGATCAGAAAGCTGATCAGGACAAACAAGAGATTGCTCTTTCGACTGCCTTTGATTTCCCGAAGATGCTGTCAGTGGAAGCTGGCTTTGAGAATTTTTTTCCTCTCTAAATGAGAAGGGTGGGGCCTCCTTCTGGCTACACACGAAATTCTTCAAAGCAGAAAGTATTGTATCAGATGCAGCAGCAGAACAAATCCCATGTGATCAGAAAGCTGATCAACGGGATGCCTGCTTAATTGGGATTCTTGCCAGAGATGAGATTTGGAACAGCCTGCTTAATAGCTCCAAACAATGGCTGAATGCTGAGGCATTTTAAAGTGCATTTGCACCAGAAAAGCTACGGTGGTAAAATAAACCCCATGACACATTAAAAAAACCAACAACAACAAAATTAAACCAAAACCAAGCACCAAAAAAACCCCTACCAAAAGCAAACTAAACCAACACTTGACATAGCAGCTTTTCACCAGGCTTCCTGAAATGGCCTGTAATGTGTCTGTGAGCTTACATCTAAACATTAGCTGCCAGATCATCATGAACCTCCACTCATCCAGGAAGAGTTAATCTTCTCATTGAACCAAGAGCCAGGACCCTGGTGATGGCTGTGGAATGAAGACACTCAGAGGAGAGCTGTGTCCCAGGACTGCCTGCTGCACACTGATCACAGGAACCTGCTAGGTGTGAATTAATGGTTCCTTGCATGAACTTAGTTCTCTGAAGTCTCTGGTTGTCGCTAACTGTTCATGCGGAGCTGAGAATCACATGCATGTTTGGTGCCTGTGATGCAGTTTGGAACAGACTGCTTCCTACAGCACTTTAAAACAAGTCAGGCAAGAACACAGAGCAGAGTATTTGCACAACATGGTGTATTTGTCCAGGAGAGACCTTGGGGAGAATATGTAGGTGCCAAGTAGGAAGACCCTACTAAAGGTTTTGACTTTTGAAAGTCCAGGTTCTCCTTGACTGCTGGCTTCAGTCAAATGGTGCTGGAAGGTCCCTGGCCTGGTTTTACCTATGTCTCTGTTAGACTGTGTAAAAGTCATGTTGCATGTGGATAGAGCTGGTCTTTGGTGTCCATAGGGAGAGCCATTTTGGTCAATGTTGTGTCTGTCTCATTTCTCAGATATGGTGACTTTGAGCCCTGTGTTGTACCAACACAAGACCATCCAAAAGATGCTGCATCATGGCTTAGTCCCACCCTTTCCATTCTGTTTTATCCCTTTGCAGCAGTGTGAGACAGACTTTTGGAGCTGGCCATGGAGGTGCTTCAGCAGAGGGTCCTAATTGACATGATGGAGCAGGACAGTGGTTTGCCTGGTGCTGCCCCATTAGCAATGCCTGAACAGGCCATTGATGGAGCACAGTGGTGTTGACACACCTGCTACCACTCCTGCCCTGCAGCTGTCTCTGCTGCTTGGGGAAGCTGTTTCTCCTCTCTTTGTTTTCAAGCTCTTCATCTTTCCTTCCTGTCAAGGTCTTTGTATCCAGGACTGTCTTGATAGCTCTGTCTTCCATGCTCCTGAAGACAGACCAGACTTTAACCCAGCCCTTGGTCTCCCCCTCTGGGCAGTGGGACCCTGCTTCCACCTCTTGGTGTTGATGGAGGGGGTTAAAGCACAGAGTGAACAGCTTGCTTGGCCAGTGATACTTGGAACAAGTGCTGGAGCTGATTTCAACAGGTGCTTTGTGCAGGCATTTGTTTCATGCAGCAAAAACCTGATCTGTATCTCAGCTTTTAGTCAAAGGCACACTAGGAATGAATAAACACACTACCCTGGCGCACCCAGGAGCTGGTATCTGCCAAGAGACAGTGCTGTGGGTTGTTAACACCTGTCTTTACCACTGCAGCAGCCCACAAAGATGCTTTGAGCTAGGAGTGTGTCGTTGCAGTCTGATTGGGGAAACGAGCATCTGTGGTGGTAGGTAGCGGGATGCTTTGGCTGGGTGGATTTACCCCTCCATATGAAGGGGTGGTTTTGCAGCCAGCTCCATGCATTTACATTGGAGTGGAACACAGGGTTTTGCTTTTTCTTACAGCATCAATTATGTTTTCAATATCAGGTTCTTCAGTCTTGTCAGTACGAGATCCTTATCTTCGTTGCTATCACCCGACTGACTATAAGCTGCCATTGTTTTTTTGTGTGCTTTCCATGTATAGCTGCTGAGCAGTGACCTGTCTCTTCTCCTTCAGGCCATCAACACCTCCATATTTACACTGGGTCTCTCATTTTCATGCTTTCCCTTTTTTAGGGTCTGAGGTAACTCAGAATCAACACTTCCTGGCTGAGACAGTGCTTGTGTTTGACAAAACACCAGCCGCTCCTCTGCCTTCCTCTTCACACCCACTCTGTGTTTCTTCTCTAGCTTTAGCACAATTTCTGCTAGGCAAATTGAATGCAACTTCTAGTTTGTTAACAAAATCAGCTGTTCTAGGTTCTGTCACCACCAGTGGTGACAAATGCCCCTCCCTGGGACGGTGCCTTCTCTCTGCTCACACCTTCAACCCAAAGGATTCCATGCTCGGGGTCTGTGAGGAGCTCAGAGCTGTCTAAGTCCTTGGCAACCCTCCCCTTGAGATGTGTTCTCACAACAGCCATTTCAGCTAGGGTTTTTTTATATTATTATACTTACAAGCATTTTAATACTCAGTAAACCAGTCTTGTGAGCTGCTACCAGCCTGAACCCTCTGCTGCTACACTGTAACCTATTTCCCTCTGCTCCAGAGTTACTGGTAATGTCTGTGTGTGCTATGGTTTCTAAAAGTTAATTTGCAATGAAACCTGTCCCAGTATTTCCTGAATTTTCAAGAGCTTTAAGGGGGCACAGCAG